CTCCGGAGCCGACGGAGCTTCGGCGGCTGTGTCTACCAGGCCTCGCTCCTGCCCGAAGCCTAGACAAGCACTTCCGGGGGAGCGGGGGGAGGGCAGGGTTTTGGCACCGGAACTGCTCCCGGGCTGGAGCTGCCAGGCCTCCCGGGCGGGGCGGAGCCTCGGAGCCTGGCGCCCCGCGGCCCCGCCCCCCGGGCTCCTTGCTAACCCTGGTGGCCCCGCGATCCCCCCGTGCCCCCCCGGCGACGGCTGGCACCCCTTCTTTCAACTGCTCTTCGGATTGTTCCCCTCCAGCCACCTGATTCTATGGAAGGCTCGGAGAATCTGGTTTAGCCGAGCCCCGGCTGGCCGACTGTCCCGCGCAGTTAGCCCCGCTGGTTTCTGTCTCGCTTAAAAAGGCAGCGGACACTCATCGAAGGCTCACGGCGTGGTAGATGGTGTGTTTAAATGCCCCTCGGCCGCCTTAACTATTTTAATAACCTTCAGACTCCGGGAAACCGGCGCTCTTCTCTACATCTTTACAGAGAAGGAAACCGGCCAGGCACCAAGCTGTACCACAGATGCTGGCTCTTGGTTTTATTTTAGTTTGTGGTATGTGTAGAACTCTCATCTGCCCCAAACAAGACTTTTCAGATGATTCAAAGGCAGGAGCCAAACTCGATTCCCCTGTATCGGTCATCCTTTGCACCTTCAATGAAGGCCGAGATAAGGGGCTCTGGAATCTTAGTGCCTGGATCCTGTTATTTTACTTTTCACCTTGATGAGTTAGTCAACCTTTTAAAACTCTGTGTGTGTTGTTCATCTCTGGATTGTAGAAGAGTTAGTTAACCTTTTTAAACGTGTGTGTGTGTGTGTGTGTGTGTGTGTGTGTGTGTGTGTGTGTAGTGTTCATCTCTGGCTTGTAGAAGTTAAAAATAATTAATGCATGGTAAACATTTCAGAGTACCTAGGACTAAGTCCAGGATTCTTACACCTAACCAGTAACCGACACTAGAGAAGACCTGGGATTTTGAAGCTCTGACCAAAGACAGTATGAGAGAGAACCCACAGAGTCAGACGCCAGGAGAGGGAAAGAAGGACGATCTTAAAAGATTTCCTTGACCACAAAAATCAGAAAAGCATCAAATAGCGGAGGCAGGTTTTCTGTCTGAAGCTAGATCCCACTGGAAAGAAAAAAAGGAAAAGGAGCTCAAGCCTAGTGAGATACTTTGTGTCTGTATTCCCGGCAATCTAAGAGATACCTTGTGTCTGTATTCCTTGCAGTCTAAGAGATACCTTGTGTCTGTATTCCCGGCAATCTAAGAGATACCTTGTGTCTGTATTCCCAGCAGTCTAAGAGATACCTTGTGTCTGTATTCCCGGCAGTCTAAGAGATACCTTGTGTCTGTATTCCCAGCAGTCTAAGAGATACCTTGTGGCTGTATTCCCAGCAGTCTAAGAGATACCTTGTGTCTGT